ATACATTTTAACAGAACAGCACAGTATTCCAGCTGCACATGTAGCTCTGTAAACAAATGATTGGGTGGGACTGCAGTTGGGGCAGGCTCATTTTCTGCAAATAATTATCTGCGTTTTCTAGTGCTGATGCTATTTCAGCATGCAATGAATGTAGTGTCAGAAAGGCTGAGAAGGCTCCAAGGCTTCTGGCTAGTTTGTGTAGATGTGCAATGAGGAATTCAGAATCACAGTGTACAGTCAGCACCTGAGAAGCCCAGTGACTGGAAAGCCAACAGTGCAAGCAGTTTCTGCACCAGTAGGTGGTACTGCGTTTTTACTTTAGCGTTCTGGGTGGAGAGGAAACAACTACCTGCAGTTTAAGATGTGTGTTAGTGTGTTAGATTCATGGATGGAAATGAGGTTGGAATCTGAAAGCACCGGGCACGCTTCCAGCTCAACTTCCTGAGAACATGAGGACTAAAGAGCACACAGATAGCATCACGATGGGATCCTGTGTCAGAGCCTTTTACTAGTATAGAAAATAGGTAATGGTGACCATACAGAAGTGCCCCTAACTCTGAATAGTCTGACTGGATTTCTGTTTAGTTTAGTAGAATTTTATTTCAAGCTAAAGTAACATGGGAAATCTGGGCTGATTATTCAGAGTAATTTTGCTAAAATACAGACAAAAGTTATTCCACTGAGATTAAGTCTTTTTATTTCAAAGAAAATCATTGACATATGATACTGCCACTGACAAAAGCAGTAGAAAATGCACTGTGGTTAAAATAAACTTGATATACATATTCTTGATTGCCATTCATTGTAGTATAGCAGATAAGAAGACACTCCGTGCATTTTTAAGGCACCTTGTACAGGACTAGTAATTTCACAGCAAGCACAGCATTTTGATCCTATTGAACCACAATTCAGAAGCACAGTTTCTTGTACCAGTTGAGATTACTTCCTTTATACATTGTTCTTGCAGGTCTGAACCCCATAGATTTTATCAGTGGGGCAGAAAAAGGAGGTTTCTGATGACAATTTTACATATAAATGTAAAATTATAAAGTTGTCTTTAGGTTGTTCCATTTTTATTGAAAACTAACAGTTAAGATCAGAGTTTGCTTGGCAGTCAGTTTCAGCAAAAACATTCTTAGCATAGGTTACAGAATTTTAACGCAACTTTCTTCTGCATTTTCCAAGGAAAAACAGCACAAAAACAGTAACAGCTTTTTGTAGCATTTTCCTTTATTTTCTTTTGGAAAAATGAAAACTGCCATAGAATTGCTCTGATTGTTAATACACACAAATCTGTTATTTCATACACAATACGACTGATCCTTTTGTAGCTGTAGCTGGTAGAGCTCCACTGGCATAAGAGGAGCTGCACTGATTTATTTGCGTTAGCTGATGCTGAAGGCATTGATCTAAATCAGTCACATGTGCCATTCCAAAGGGTAAACTCACATTATTTTCCTCTTTATCTCGTGTGATAAGATTGTATATCAAGACCTTAATTTCTTACCCGGTTGACCTTTACATATCATCCAAAATAAAGAAAAATATATCACTTGATAAATGAATCTTACGTACTTTCTTTCTTCCAGGCATTGTCTCAAAATTCTTTGAAACTTGTTGAGTATGCAGAGTACTATAAGTCATCAATGAAAAATATACTCATGAACCCACTAACTTCTGTAATTATGTTATAGATTGCCAGTCTGTTGTCTTGGATTTTTATATTTTTTTAACTTTTTTTTTTTTTTTTTCAGAAAATACTTTTTTATTGTGTTTTAACAGTTTATTGCAGATTTTAAAACATGAAATAGGAGCTATATAAAGAAGTGTGTGCGTGTATGTATGTGTGTGTGCACTTGCAAACCAGATATCAAATATCCTGGGTTTCATCAGAAGAAGAGTGGCCAGCAGGGTGAGGGAGGGGATTGCCCCCCTCTATTTTGTCCTCGTGAGGCCCCACCTGGACTACTGTGTCCAGGCCTGGACCAGCACAAAGAAGATTCGGATCTGTTCATCCAGAGGAGGATGGATGATGCTCAGAGGTCTGGACCACCTCTTCTGTATGCAAAGATTGAGGAAGCTGGGCTTGTTCAGTCTGGAGAAGAGAAGGGTCCAGAAGACCTTACCACAGCCTTCCAGTACTTGATGGAGGATGGAGACCAACTCTGTACATGGTCTAATACTGACAGAACAAGAGGTAATGATTTTAAACTAAAAGAGGGGAGATTTATTTAGACTTCAGAAAGAAATTCTTCACTAGGAGGGCAATGAGGCACTGGCACAGCTGCCTGGAGAAGCTGAGGGTGTATCATACCTGGAAGTGCTCAAGACCAGATTGGATGGGGCCCTGGGCAGCCTGAGCTGATAGATGGCAGCCCTAACCATGGCAGGGGGTTGGAACTGGGTGGGCTTGAAGGTCACTTCCAACTCAAGCCCTTCTGTGATAGAATTTATATTTCAATAGATGTATCTCAGATTAAATATTTTATTCCTTAATTAAAAATACTTCAGCACCCATCATCTACTGAAGAATTTGGCTGGTAGAAAAATATACCTACAGAAGTATTAATCACATTGTTCCTCAGTATTCTTCTGGGGACCACAGTGAGCTCTCTGCAGAACCGTCAGCTGAGCTGCTTGCAAGTACAACACTGAGCGAGCTTCAGTTGCTGTGCAGGAAGCTGGGAACATGACACATTATGAGAGAGCCAGGCATGAACTCTTCAAGCTGACTGGTCTGAGGAGCTCAAAGTAAATATAGGAACTGAAGGTGTGTATCTGTTCAATGCATAGCATGCTTGTGTTGTATGAGAAGATGAAGTTTGCTCTCACATTTTCAGATTATGCTTTAAGATGTCAATATAACTGTTTCAAATAATATTTCAAAATACTGATCTTTTGTAGCAATAATCTGTTTTAGAAACATTGAAGCTGAAAATAAAGCTGAGAAATCACACTATTTCTGCAAGGCAGCCTGCACGTGGCTCAGGCCACATTTCATAGAATTTCCTACAGCATGTAAACATTGTAAAGATAAAGAGGAGAGATCCTTAAATGCGCACAGCACTGCTTATACTCAGAAATAAATGCAGAAATAAAAAAATCAGACTAAGACATTCAAATAGATCTCTCAGTTTAACCCCAATACCATGTGATTAAGGCAGGGAACTCTGAGTTGTTCTGCAACCATGTTTCACCATCTTGCACCAGCGTTAATGAACTTTATAATACCAAGGATCACTGACTTAGGGGCAGTGCTCCAAAGTATGACTGCAACCCAGCAGCAAGTCCCTGCCATGCTCTAGAGCTTATTTGCAGCTCAGCTTACATCCAGCTTGTGAGCCCTGTGCCTGTTCCAGGTCCTGATCATCCCAGGTAGCATGGAAACACCTCTAGGTTAGCACAGAACAATGTACATTCTGTAAACATATTTCATATAACCATGCTAAAAACAAGGGCTTCAGCTTGAAACTATTGATTGAGAAATAAGGCTAATATCTTCTGTTCACCCACCTCTGGGCAAACAGCACCAGAATCTGCTGCCTACCTATGGGACAAGTGGCAAAGAACAGCATGGGCAGCGCTTTGCATGCTTTGTGTAGCTGCATGCTCAAAATGCTCACCTCTTCTCCCAGAAGTGAATAGGAACAAAGTAAAATTAGGGCGTCATCAAATCATTTGAGCTGGGAGGGACCCTTAAAGATTACCTAGCCCAACTGCCCTGCGATGGACATCTACAGCTCAATCAGGTGCTCAGAGCCCCAACCAGCCTGACCTCGATGTCTCTAGGGATGGGCTTCCACCACTGTGGGCAACCAGTCTCACTGCCTCACCGTCCTTATTGTAAAAAAATTCTTCCTTATTTTCAACATAAATCTCCCCTCTTCTGGCTTGAAACCATTTCCTCTGGTCTTACTATGACACACCATGAATGCACCCCTGGATGTGCTCCAACAGGTAGGTCTTTATCACTCCTGTACCGAGGGCTCCACATCTGAATGCCGTGCTCCGGGCGAGGCCTCACCAGCACAGAGCAGAGGGGCAGGATCCTCCCTCGACCTGCTGGCCACGCTTCTTTTGATGCAGCGCAGGTTACGGTCGGCTTTTTGAGCTGCGAAAGCACACCGCTGTAGCAGAAATGAGAGAGCCGGCCGGATGCAGCAGCGGACGGGCAGACGTCAGCCCGGCCACGCGAGGACCTGGGCTCGCAAACGACGGACGCGGCACGCGGGGCGTCTCACGGGCCGCCTCCTTCGGGGCGGGAGGACAAGGGACAAACAAGGGCCGGGTAAGGGCCGGGCGGAGCCGCCGCCGCCGCCGCCTCCTGCCCGCTGCAGAGCCGGGGAGGGGCGCCCGCAGGCGCGGGGCAGCCACGGGGCGCGATCGGTCGGTGCTGCGCGGGGCTCCGCCGCTCGGTCCTGCGCGGGGGGTGGGACGCGGCTCGGAAGCTGGAAGCTCTGCTGCCGTGAACATGAACGTCTCTCCCCCCACCACGGGGCTGCCGCGATGACGGCTGCTTTACTCCGCCGTGACGTCAAGCAGGTGTTGGCCGGGGGGTGTGGCGCTGGGAGGGCTCCTGCCGAGGGTGGGCGGTGTGAGCGGGGGGCAAGGAGCGCCCGTCTGCTGAAACGGTGATAATAATTCGCGTGTTTGTCTTTCGGGAGCGGCTTTGTAGCTGTAAATTCGCTTTTCAGTTTCTTTTGTGTGTTTCTGTGAACGCGGGTGTGCCGGGAAGCTGTAAACCCCACGGTCAGGGGTTAGTAGCCGGCTAGTGGCCGGCATCTCCCCGAGTGGGAGAGGTGGGCACGGCTCCTGCCAGCGTGACCGGCCTGGGAGTGCAGCGAAAGTGGACAGTGATGTATCTGATAGAAGCAAATGGCTCTTGGGATGAGGTGGGAGCAGCACGCTGAGGGTGGGGTGAGGCTGTCACTGCCGACCTGTGGGACACGACAGTCACTGGCTTCTGTGGGACTGTGACACTGCAGAAAGTTACACCGGGTATGAGCAGTGAACCCTGCCTGTCTGCCACCTGTCGTCAGATGGTACTCAGGTGGCTGAGGAAACACCGACCAGGAAAACAGTCAGAGGTGAATTGGTGGCCACCTCCAGCTCTAGATGGTTTCCTATTGCTATCAGTCTTGAGTCAGAGCTCCCAGCGTTTATTTCTGAAGGAGCGGCCCTGGTGACAGTTTCATGTTGACATTTGGGAGTGGGGAGGAGAAACTAGCTTAGCTACAGAAACTGGGTGCTGCGTGAACCACCTTCCTCGGGAGCCCATCGACTCCTGCAGCCCTTCCAAGCAACCCTTAAATTGTTTGCAATGGGCCACATCAGGCTCCTTTTTCCACCTCTCTCTCCATTCTTTGAGCTGCAGAATACCATCGTTCTTTATGCAAGTGAAACAAATGATAATAAATAATAAACAGAGGCTACGGCTGCTCAAAGTGACACTTCTCAGCTGGTAGAGGGGACACACCAAAGATCCAGGCTCTCTTTGTAAATGTGAGCAATGATTGGCTTTCAGAAAAGAGTGGCAGTCACTCAGTGATGTTCTGCAGGTGTCATGATGAAATTTTCATTACTGAGCGTCATATGGTCTGATGGGGAACAGAAAACTGAAGAACAAGTAGTAGTATCATATAGAAAGGGATAAGCTGCCATTCTTCAACAGGTAAACGAGTCCACCTTTCACAAAAAATAATAACAATAATAATAAATGAATGAGAAGAGTGTTGTTTTCTTCATGTAAAAACACAACGCACTGGCTCAAAAACATATTTACAACCTTGGGTAGCCAACAGACCATATTTATGAAGAGTTTTGGTGCTTTCTTTTAATTAAAGGCTGCTGCTGCCTCTCACACAAGGCCTGCAGTAGCCAAGTGGCATTACAGCCTTCGCCAGTCCTGTTTAGCATCATTGTAAGAAGTTAAGCAATCCACTCAATGCTTCATTCCTTTTCTTTCTCTCTCTCTCTCTCTCTCTCTCTTTTTTTTTTTTTTTTTTAATGTTATTTACTATGCAGCTTTTCCTTTGATCCAGGTACCTCTAAGAAACAAAAACTAAAGCCGTGTTACTCTGCAGATGGCAAAAATACTGTAATATTTGTAGATTCTCCTTTCCTGGAGGATTTTTTTTTAGAGAATCCATAGAGACTGTACAAGAGCAGCTAGCCACATATCCAGGTTTTCTCAGATATACATTTTTTTTTGCCAGATGGCAGCTGAGAAATCCAAACCCTTTCTGGGATTTCTGGCCACTCAGCAGAGAAGTAGCTCTGGCCACATTGCAGACATTTAGGAAATCTTCAGTATGCCTGTGGCACACATTCTGCAGAGGTAACCTGGCCATTTACAGGAGCAGGTGACATATTCAGGTCACGTTGCCTTTGCTTTGTATGCAATGACAACACATATATAAACAGCTGTGTGGGAAATCCTGGCTGTCAAAATACATCAACCCTAACCTGACACTGAGTTGGGTTTTTTTTACTGATACAGAAGAAACTCAAACTGTAATGGAAACTTTTATTTCTATTGTCTAAGTAGACCAGCTCACCCAGTTTGATTGAAGTTACGTGTTTTAAAATCACATTCTGCTACCTTTCTTCTGTCATGTATCAGACTATCTTTGTTTTCCTTCTTGTTCACCTACAAGTATTTGCTGCAGAGCAGCCAACGCCTCTCATAAAACATATTCAATTCACTCTATGACAGAGCATATTAAATAGCTTTGCTCTTGAGCCTTCACAATCAAATCAGCAAATGGGAACAAATCCGCAAAGGAGCGCTCAGCAGGGCGTGCTGCAGCCAAGGCCACCCAAGTTAGCTGGCAGGCAGTAGGTCTTGGGGTAAGGGAGCAGGAGAGAGGAGCATGGGGCAGGCAGGAGGACATGACCTGGGAGCTCTCCAAACTGGGGAACTATGGTAATACTTTACACTAATACTTTGGGATTTAAAAATATTTTCCTGTCCAGATGCAAATCTGTATTTCTTATTCCTGTTTCTTTTCTTCTTATCCTATTTCTTTTGGATTATTCAGTTGCAACTTCTAGAAATTCTATGATTTCAGAAAAGTAGTATCCTCATACTATGAATTAATGTATTGTAATTGCAGGATTTTAATTTTCACCTGCAATATATGGGCATATCCATCCTGTGCAACCATTTTTATGAAAAAGTCCGACTTAGCAATTCAAAACAACTTCTATTAGGTAGAAACTCTCTTGGCAAGCAAGGAAATATAATTGCAGAGCCTGAAAATCAAGTGGAATCTTACAGCAGTGTGTTTGCTGCACTGTGTGGCACAGGACACGCTAGAGCAGGCATTCATTCTTTGGTCCTTACTTGTACATGGTGGTATCTCCTAGTCTTAATGTCAGCATTCTTAGCTGCAAATGAAGATATGCTGTCAAACTTCATGCCACTTTTAATTCTTTTGATGTTTTGCATTTTCATTCCTAAGCAGTATTAGGTGAATTATCCAAGGTTAATTATTGTTAATAGTGTAATGAAGTAATTCTGACACAACATTAATACTTCTATAGCTTAGGTAGGAGGAGACACAGAGGCACGTCCTTTTCTACTAAATATCCAAATGTTTTTTCAGTTGAAAAAAAGAAAAAGTGTATTGCTGTTGGTGCCATTAGTAGGATGATTCTTTCATGTGTCATTTAATTACAGGGGAAGCACAGAAAACAAAATGATTTGTTGCATTCAATGCTTTCTGTGAATTACAATAGACTAAGCTTTTGTACTTACTAAACTATATAACTGCTGATGTGTATCTTAGCAATAAAACCTTTATTTCCAAAAAAGACTGTCCTCAAAAGCTGAAACAGCTTTTATAAAAAGCACACGATGTGTGTGCTTTAATAACAAAAAACTGAAACTTCTGCCTAAACTGCTGTATGATGTATTGTAGCATTGCTATCCCCCTCGTGCTCCCCCATGTAAATAATTCCTCCTTTTGTTCTTTTCTTTTTTCATGGATTTTGCTGTGGGTTTGTGTTCTGGAGGTGTGGTCTCTGCACAAAATAGAACACTTTATAGTGAGGTTTCAGGTTGGCTTTTCAATATTTCAAGTTGAATTTTACACTGAAGGTAATATCTGATTGCTGCATTCCTTGGTATTGCTGTAATTGTTTGACTGAGCCTATGTAGTGGGAAAATCTCTATATAAAAGTAAGGCATGCACCAGTGAATTACAGGAATGCATGGTAGTCCTGGGGGGACATGGAAAGAAGCAAGCAGCACAGGGTGAAGCATCTTCAGAGCTGTGCCTGGCGAGTGAATAGCTCTCCCTGCTTCCTCCTGCAGGTGCTGAGTTTGGGCTTGTGCCATCACATCTACCAGGCCTGTGGCCAGGCCCTCACTGGAGACAAATCCCTCCTTCTCCCCTCACCCTTATGGAAGGGACTTTTAATGAAACGAGCCTGAGGCCTTCTAAACCTGCAGGAAGCCAGTACCAGCTCTACATTGGCCTGGCTCTGGCGGTCAGTTCCAATATCTTCATTGGATCCAGCTTCATCCTGAAGAAGAAAGGCCTCCTGAAGCTGGCTGCCAAAGGAGTTCCCCGTGCTGGTAAGCAGCGTTCCTGCTGCACATGGCTTGATGGTTCCATTACCAGCCATTACCTTATGTTAGCACTGACATACAACTCCTCCCTGACGGCAGTCAGATACCAAATGAAGTTCTGCCTTTGTTCTAATCTTCAAGAAGTCTTTATCTCTATTATTTTTCCTTAATTTTTTTCTGCTTCCTTTGAGATGGGAAGTCATGAAATGGTCATTAGATCTCCTGTATTTTTAAAAGCCAAAAGTGCAGTGAGCCATAGAAGAACTTATTACAAGAGTCTGTACAGTTAGTACAACTAATTTTCCATTGATGGCAGCAGATGCAGAAACAGAAATACATCAAGAGCTTTAAAAATCTCTTCAGACTTACCTGATAATTCCTTTTATGGCATTTACATGCACAGTGATAGCAATTATGCTTTTGTTTGTTGCATTTATTGCAAAATCTGTTATTCCAGAGATTTCGGCACTTGAAAAAATTATGTAACTGAACACACAATTTACTTATATTTTGTGCAAGAAAAAAATAATGCACGCAGTGACATTTTTCTTTCTGATTTCTTTCAACTTAAATCATAAGCAGAGTCAAAAGGCAGATCTCTGTGTAAGGATATACTGGATCTGACCTGGGAAGGCACTTCAAAATATTTGTTAAGCTCAAGAATCTTAGTTGACACTTCACTTTTTCTTGGCGCTTTTCCTCTGTGTGAATTAGTCAAAACCATTTCTCACAAGTCATAAAGCAGCAAGTGATTAATAAAAATGTGAGTCAAATTCAGACAAAATATTAATGTCACATCCAGATAACATGATGTTTCTATACTCTATATGACTTGATCCAAATGTGAAGATGTGATTTTTTGTTAAAATAAGGTGATTTCTCTCTTCTAAAGTGAGATTTTTTGCTCCACTTCCAGGACATGGTGGATATTCCTACTTGAAAGAATGGCTTTGGTGGGCTGGACTGCTTTCAAGTAAGTCACCCTTTATCTCTCAACTATATATAGACTCTACACAGAACAGTTCATTTTTAACAAATTCATTCTATAATTTTTCACTCACCTCAGTTAAAAGAAATATCTTTGCAATCACCTTTATGACTGAAATGATTCTGGTATCTCATCTCAACTATTTTGCTTGCTGCTTGGGGTTTTCTGCAGAACAACAGCCTCTTCTTTATCATCTAGTCAGAAACAATATGGTTGAATCTGTCCAGTTCTACGCACTGTCACTGTTCCTTGCAGGAAGGTGTAGCCAGTGCAGAGCTGTTCTGTAAATGCCTGCCTTAAGCTTTGTCATCATAGTCATACTGCACACAGTACCTAGGGGATATGCATATAACTTTCTCGAGTCCTTATTTCCATTGTGTTCATCCAAATAGTCTTTCTTTTGCAGTGGGATTGGGAGAAGCTGCAAACTCTGCTGCCTATGCCTTTGCACCAGCAACCTTAGTTACCCCTTTGGGTGCACTGAGTGTTCTCATAAGGTTAGTGCAAACTGATCATTCATTGTCTGAGGGAAAAATAATGTCTTTGGTTAAAAGCAAATAATTTTAATAAGAAAACTGAAGGGCAAATACAGATAAGAAAGGCTTGTTGTTCCTCAACAAGGAGGATCCCTTGATTATTTAGAAATTAATTTCCTGGGTAGAGGGAATAAAGTCTTGTTTCAAAGACTGATACATGCAGCAGCCTTCCACATATTCCTTGTGTGTTTCTTACCAGCATATACCTGGTATACAGCTGTAGCACAGTGTTAGAAGGCTGCAACTTATTTCCTCCTAGAGAAATGACACTTTCCTTAAAAAAAAACCTTATCCTATTTTTCAGTGGGGATAAAACTTTAGAAGAAAATATGGCATCCTCCCCTTAAAATGTTTTCAAAAACATTTTTTATAATAGAAGTATAATTTTATATCGACACACACTTACTATACATTTTTGGCAGATTCATGCTAACCACCTGGCTGGCTGCTGCCCCTCCTTTCCTGCAGGTGGCAATTTTTCATAGAAAGCTTGTGAGAACTTAATGCAAAAAATAACTGAAATTTAATCAACAGGTTGAAAAATTGTTCATGAACACATCAGTACGCATGTGGCTATGCCTAAGGTTGTGTGTAATTCTTGATCATAAGCACTCTTTGGTTGCCTTTTTTGGGGCCGTGTTATCCTTAGATTAAATCTTAAATCCACTAGAGAGCTCAGAGAGAGATGGTGAGGAACTGTTACCTAAACTTGCCTGTGTTTGTTCTCATGGCAAATGGAGTGCTTTAAACCATTTTTATGAGAAAACAACAGCTTACTGATCAGCTATGAGTATTCAAGGGTTCTGTGTAAGCAGCCCATTAACTCTGACCCAGGCAATCACTAATGACCAGTTCCTTAAGAAATTCAGACCCTTCAACCTAGAGGGATCTGATCAGAGTTGCTAAATTCCCCTAAAACTTCGGATTGACCTTTGCTGTGCAAAACTCCTTGTAATTTGGTTGTTTCAAACATGTTTCCCCTATATCCAAATTCAAGAGTCTTGAAGTTGCTCATAGTACAAAGTCTCACACATCTGGTGGACCTGAATCTTTTATTTCTGTTTTGTCAAACAGTGCTATATTGTCATCCTACTTTCTGAAGGAGAAACTGAATATTCACGGCAAGTTGGGCTGTGTTCTTAGTGCTTTGGGTTCTACAGTCATGGTTATTCATGCCCCAGAGGAAGAGGAGATCACCTCACTGGATGAGATGGAAATAAAACTGCAAGATCCAGGTCTGTACACTTAAGCTGACATATGTCGTGGCAGGCACATGACAGATTGTGATGTGTTCTCCCTTCACTGGATCTGTTGGTGAGTGAGTGGATTGGGATAGCTAATCAGAACGTCCTGGCTGCAGAGCTGATTGTGCCAGAAGCCCAGAAGCCCTTAATAAATGCATGAGCACAAATGGCTTCTGCGCATGTACCGTATTTCCCAAAGATGCAGGCTTAAAAGCAGTTCATCTTACATAGCTTCTTGCAGATTATTTGAGTAAGAAATGATGCACTGAGTCTTCCTGCCCTCCAGCATGTTGAGAAGTTCTAAGGCTCTATATGCCAAGTTACCTCCACTTAAAATAAATCACAGCTTTAAATAAAGTTACTTTCAACCAGTTCTTAACTTACTTCATTTGAAATGCTGTTCAATTCTAAGTCCCAGTTACTACCTTGCTCTAAGTAAGCAGGCGTTCGTACTAATTCAAACAAATATCCTGGGGTACACTTCAAAGAGAGCGTGTGTTTGAGAAGCAGAAGAATTTCATATGGAGGAGTGTAGCATCGGACAAAATGAGTTAAATTCAAGTTAGTTCATGAGTCAGCTCATAATTTAAAAGCTCCTACAATCAAAAATTAAACATATAGTTGGCATTTTAAATACAAAGCATGTATGTTGTGTTTATTTCAATGCACTGAGTTTGTGTTTCAGTTCCTAGAGAAATTGAATTGAAGTTGAATGACTTTCAGCATGTTTGAACATAGTCTGATATTTCATCTTTCCTTTTTCATACAGTGTTTGTTGCGTTTGCTGTTCTCCTAGTATCTGTTGCCCTTGTGTTGATTTTTGTTGCGGCTCCACGGAGAGGTCAAACAAATATACTGATCTACGTTTTAATTTGCTCACTCATTGGTGCCTTCTCTGTCTCATCTGTCAAAGGCCTGGGTATTGCCATTAAAGAAATGCTGGAGTGGAAGCCAGTTTATCGACATCCTCTGGTTTATGTTTTGGTGGGAATCCTATTGCTCTCAGTTAGCACACAGATCAATTATCTCAACAAAGCACTGGACACATTTAACACATCTCTAGTGACACCTATTTATTACGTGTGTTTCACCATGACAGTGGTGACATGCTCAATCATCCTGTTCAAGGAATGGAGTAGTATGGACCTGGATGACATCCTTGGGACCCTCAGTGGATTCTGCAGTATAATAATTGGAATTTTTCTATTACATGCTTTCAAAAATATTGATATCACCTGGAGTCAGTTGATGTCCAGTGTTACAAAAGAATCATCATTGCCACACTGTGAGTATGAAACCTCTCACACTTTACTGGAAAGCATGGAAGACCCAGCTGTGTTATATGGGGAAGACAATGTTTTATTCAGCCAATGAAACTCTCAAGTGACAGTTCCTCATTCCACTGTCATGAATTGCAGACTTACCTGTATCTACCAGACCACTTTTGGTCACTGCTATCCTCTGGAAAACTGCCTGTAAAGGCACACTCCTCTGTGCACCAGCTGTTAGTAATAATGAATTAAAATGTTCAATAATTGACATGAGGAACAGAAACCTGGTGGTTATAATATGTCAAGCAGTGAACAAGTTTGTCTATTTTTTATGCAACATCTCCTATTGGAGAATTTTAGAATTTTTTCCCACATCTTGGGTTGTTCAGGGTGATGCTTGCCAGAGATTTAGCAAGAGAGCTGGATTATTAAAAATGACTTCTGATCAGCTGAGATATATATGCTAAGCAGAATCTCTTCATAAAGCAGGCTGCGTAATGTGCAAGCAGTAGAGTAAATGTTGACACTTCAGGTTCTGTGAACAGAAATCTCACAATTTATCTGTAGGAACAAAATGGTTGCTACTGCTTGCAGCATGCTTGCACACATGCTTGTGTTGTGCCAAGTTTAATCTTGATGCCAAAGCCATGCACTTCCTTTCTGAAAGGTGTTCATGAAACATCTTACTTGTTAATGGTTTTTCTTTTATTTTAGTGAGGATTTAGAAGGTATCAAAACCTGAGAAGTGGCTCTAGGGATACTTTCTTGAAGTTATTTCTAAACTGCAAGCATCTTTCTTTTCCACTTGAATAGGTTTGTAATTGACGTACGTACAGGAGGAAGTAGTAACTGTACCAATCACCTAGACATTATTTCTAAATCCTTGATTAGAAGAAGCAGGAATTCTGTATTTCCTACTGGACCTGCTTGTCTACTTTAATGTGTAAATAACGTCTACTAGGAAAATAATGTTATTTTCTTGCAATGTCAGAAAATCAAAGTTAATGCTTATTTCCATGGTGTTCAAGAACTCTAAAATGTTACAAAGTAAATTACTGATTATCTTTTGTATAAAAGCTTTTGCTAGAAGAGGTATTATTTTTGAAACTGTTCATATTTAGTAAATGATTTGGAAGAAGTTTAATCTTTACAGAAATTATGCTAATATTTTTCTTGTAATAAATTATACATGGTTTACTTATTAAATTACTGGTGTTTTGTAAGCATGGTGGAAAAAAAGAGAGTAATCCACATTTACAATCAGCAATAAGATTGGTTTTAGTGGCACATTCTGTGTGCACACAGATTCAAGATGAAAGAGGTCTGGCTGAGGTCCCTGCAGCTCATGTGAATCTGTCTTGATTGTGACCTTCTTTTAGTAGCTTTGACTTCTGATTTTTTTTCTGATAGGAAAGAAAATTTTGTACTCTCTTAGAAAAGCCAAGTGTGTAACTACCTTTAAATAAAAAACCTGCAGTATTCTGATGCAGATGGAGGGCAGAGTATGGGGAGACTGAGAGGTTTTGGTGTCTTACAGAGTGACTCAATTTGTTCGGATGTGTTATTTTACCCTTATGTTCTACAGAAAGCATCAGCAAGGAGCATTTAATCCTGATGATAATATTAGCTGCCAGAAGACAAGGATTTTCAGGAATAAGATTGGTAGGCAAATTAAATGCCTTTCCTTCTAAACTAGGGAAGGAAAACCAAAGCTGAATATTAGGGAGTTTTTTGTTGTGCTCATGTTTCATGGAAGTATTTGAGTGAACTTTCAGATTTTCGAGGCAGCAAATGAAAGCTATTTTTTAAAGTAATCTGAAATTTTTGGAAAGAAGGTAGAATGGTTAACTGAAACAAAGGAAACCTTAAAGGCAATACATCACTAACCAAATTAGTGCTTTTAAATGCAGAAATAAAACCATCTTGGTAGTTACTCATTGCCATACCATAACTAGGGACAAATGAGCAATTAAATTAATTACACAGGTGTGCTGATTAGAAGTAGGTAAATCAAGAAGACTTGCATAGGTTACATGATCTGCAGGGAATTTGGAAGGAAGCTCATAGGTTATTATTCTCTCTAAGAACCTGCCTTCCCAGCCACACTTAAAACAGCCATGCCCCAGTCAGGTTTGTTCCCAAAGAATTCTCATCAGAACTTAAATTTCTTTACTCATGATGGTTGTGGCCTGGAGTTCTATCTTTAATTATATACTCATGGCAAATGTCATCCTCTTACTATTTAAATTCCAGCAAAACCAAAACAGCAAATGCATTAGGAAACATTTAAGTGTTTTTCCCATAACTGACTCCTTTCTGGCAAGTTTCTAAACTGGATGAGGAGGTAGGCAGAAGCCAGGCTGGATGATGCATGAAGAGTGGCACTTAGGTTCATTTGTTACCTTCTTATGAAACTTCACTGTGTAGGGGTGGAGAGGGAAAGCTGCTCTCAAAAACAAATAGCACTGTAGAGAAACTTGCCCAGACGTATAACACACAAGTGATTACTTGCCAGCAGTACTTTTGAGGATGGAAATATGCTGCAGTTTGCCAGCAATTCAGCTTTTGATAGAAAAGAGGCACATCCTAAGGGGTTGCTGCATAGAAGCTAGGACAACAGCTTTTTTTTTTTTTTTTTGTCTCACCTGGCTGTTAGTCTGTTTTATGATATTTGATGAGCAAACAGTGGCCAAATTTTTGCCATTGCTAAGTACTCTTAACAGCCCTTCGGGGACACTGTGCTTCCTTCCAATCTTTACTGCTCTTTTCATAGAACCATTTATTTGGAAAGTCCCCTAAGAATATCATATCCAACCAACCACCCTTTAGTACAAACCATGGCCCTTAGTGCCACATCCACACATCTCTTTCATACTTCCAAGGACAGAGACTCCACCACTTCCCTAGGCAGGCCATTTCAATGTCTAATCACCCTCTCTATTATCAAATACTTCCTGATAACTAATCTAAACCTCCCCTGGCTAAGCTTGAGACCATTTACTCACATCCTATAAACTTGTCACTGAGAAAAAGAGAGTGTCATCCTTCTCACTGCAACCGCCTTCCAGATAGTTGTAGAAAACCATGAAATCTCCCTTCAGCCTTCTATTCTCCAGATCAAACCGCCTCGTCTGCTCCTCAGATATCTTATTTTCTATCAAAAATCTCTTTTGAAATACTCAAAGGTTTATCAGGAAAAAAAAAAACCAAACAGCTAGCAGACACATATGACTGTTATCAATGGCATGAGTTATTCTCACTGTTCACCTATCTTTTCTTTCTCTTTTTTTACATGTCTGGGGTTTGAGGTATACTAGGAGCCACCTCAAGGACTAAGTTGGCCTGTTGGTCTTTATATGTGGGTATAGCTTCTCAAGTAAGTAAACATGCCCTACACACCCAACCTTCGCCCTGCCAGACCTTTCTTCTTACTGATTAAACTCTGATTCCACTGATCCTGAAGCACATGATAGTGCTTTTTAATTTATTTACTGTCAGCCTTGTGATATCAGCTACTAAATTCATCTGCGTCAGAGTGCTGACATCAGCCCACTCATAATTTGCCCACCTTCCAGAAAGGTGGAATTCTGAAGATGAAGGAATGGTAGGCAAATATTACTTTCCATCTGAGACCAGTGTGTGTCAAAGATAACCACGGGACAACTCAACAATGCAAACAAAAGCAGGGTGCTTCAAGAACCTGAACTTACCAGAGCCCCTTTTTATTGCATGGTACTGTGGTATTACATATTAACTTGCAGTAATATATGTAGCAAAACCAGTTTTACAAGAGCTGTTGGAAAATATTCCTCTAATATTATTAAAAGTCCCTGAGTGCATTTATACTTCAGATACAGTTTGAATTTTTTTTGTAGAGCTCAAAAGCATTGAATTACTGTAATACAGGCATAAACATGTACTAAGCTCAAAGCAGTGCTTTGTATAGCATTGTATAGGTTTGTATGCAGTTAGAGGTCTGAGATGGAACTGAATGCTCATAAATAAGTCAGTTATAAAAGTAAACAGAGCCATAGGTTGGTGGCAATTCTTTCAGCAGATTACACAAAAGGATGAGAATATCATGTTTCACTCAAGCAGAAGGATCTTAAAAGTGTGTGTGTGAAGTTATTCCCAAATGGTAGAGTTAAGTACTCCCTTCCCCAAGGGGTGGTAACTATTGGAATGCTATTGCAGTAAAAATGAACTATTATTGCCATGAATTTAGCCCAAAGGTGTCATCACCTTCTGGAAATCCAAAACTTGGAATGATTGATTGTATTGGTTCAGTTACTTTTAAAATATGGAAATGAAAAAACTAACTTGTTCAGACATCCATCATTCTTCATCTACTGGCTTTGAAGTATTTTGTCTATGATATGCTATAAAATGTAATATGATGTGCTTACCTATTAATAATTCACAGCGCAATCACATTTTTAAACTACTATTTATTTGTAATGACCTGATTGTTCTCTGTATTGAAAAATCACCAAATTCACCTGCCTCTTCTGTAATACATTTGCACTGACCAAAATTAAGAAGTAGAAGTGAACGATATGCTAACAAGCACAGTTACAAATATGGTGCAAGTAAGGTCTCACAGACTCTATTTGAGTTAAACTAACACAAAACACTTTGTTTAATGGCCAGTTTCCAGCCTTTCTTTGTTCACCATTCTGGGCACTTGCAGAAGGAGAAATAAGAAAAGCATGGGCATTTGAGTATGCTGCAGCAAGCAAGGAATGGAAGACAATGAAAAGTTCAGGGAGAAGCTTGAATAAAATAATCTTTACTTGTTCTCTCTGTTTCACACAAAATTAGCCTTTACCTATGAGCAGAATTAAAGTTCCTCAGGGGTGCTGAGCACTTCCAGCTGTTTGGATGTGAGTCAGGAGCTGCCAAAGGATAACTGCTGCCTCCACCCCTTCTGTGTGTTTGGATCCCCAGCAACATGCAGTGCAGTGTCTGGGCAAAAATCCGCATGCTGCCCTGGAGGCTGAGTTACCTCTGAAACTGCTCCATTCCTTCAGTGTTATGCAATGCAAAAGTCTCTGCCTTTAGTCCTGGAATTTTTTCACAGGTTCTTCCACCACTTTTGCTGCTGCTAATCACTATTTCCCTGTGCATGAGCCATATTAAGTAACAAATCATTTCTTATCAATATTGTTACAGGAATTAGTGTAGCTCTGACAAAAAGAATAAGTAAAAATGCTTATGTGGTGAGTAAGCTTGGTTACTTCTTTCTAGATAGGAGATTTTTCATGGAAATAAAGGCTTGAGAGTACAAATCCAGTAATCCAGTCCCCTCAGGTATCTTTCCAAATTAGGCCAAGCCCAAACAGCTTCAATATGGGGATGCTGCTACCATAGCTTAAGTAGAGACTGCTTTAAAAGGCTAAAGTTTTCAGCATACGCTACACTGGCCAGCTCAGTGCTCACTTTTCAGTAAATACACCTGTATAAAATCCCCAATTATCCCATCTCCATTATATCTGTGAGGGTTTCCACTAATTCTGCAAAAGTAGGACGTCCTTCAGGCTTCTGGAAAAAAAAAAAAAAGAAAGAAAAAAGCAGAGGAGAAATTTAAATTAATAGAAGGTGGTTACAGGTACATCAAAGAAACTGATTAAAATTATTATTCATATTATTATTTTATTTTGTTGAGACAGGTTAAAGAGATGAAGTTTATCTTGTTCTGCACATCAGTGTGCCAGAAATCAACAGAATGAAAAAGTACTTTCAGAAGAAAGCATTTTTATGCAAAATTCCTTTGCACACTACAGGAGGAAACACAGGGGATATATTCAAAACCAGGGATGGTGTAGACCTATTGTGTAGATTATGTGCTTGGCATTTATTGAATGCAACAGTCAAAAGGAACAGAGGCTTTTAAACTAGATGTGGTTTGTGAAAAAGCATAGCAAAAATTACTGAGGATTCCACAAAGTAAAGGTTTATTGCTCCAATTTTTGAGGATAGCATTCAGATCCACATTGCAAGTGAAGTTAAAGTAATATCACAAGAAAGAAAGACCAACAAACCTCATGCCAGCAGCTGTACATGACTTTGTACACAGTGTGTGATGCCAAATGCGGCCGATAAAGTCGGTTACCTGCAGAAATCTCATGCACAACTTCAAATTTGATTTACTTTCAAAAGGCATTTTGCCTTCTGTGAAAACTTCCCACATCAGTACACCTAGAATTGAATCAAAATATGTAGAACAAAACAAGAACTGCAAAGCCACAAGTTGTCTAATGATACTAGAAGTCCCATTCTTTTCTAAGCATTTAATTATGAATGAAAAATATGGGCAACCTGAGGTGAATAAAAAAAACAATGAACTGATGTAATTATGCTCATATTGAAGTCAGCTAAAGTGATGGTTCATGAAAATGAGGTTAATAAGCATTTGGTTAACGGAGACACTTCAAAAACATATGTCTGTTGAAAACCAAATTTTTTAGATTAAAAGTGTATTAAAAAAAAACCCACACAGTCTTCCTATACAGACAAGATTCGAAAAATGAGATACACTAAAGATTAAGACAGGAAACATCAGAAAAAGTTGCTTTTTCCTCAATCTTATCAGTAGTTTTGGGGAAACAGCTTGTCACACATTAACCTAACCCACTCACCAAATGACCAGATGTCTGATTTACTGCTGTACTTTTTGAAATGAAAGACTTCAGGAGATGACCACTTGATTGGAAACTTGGCACCTGAAGAGCTGACATATTCATCATCAATGACGTATCTAAAGAACATCAGCAAATACCATGTATTTTAGCAAGAGTTAAAGTGAAAGCAGTTCTGGCAGCGTTTTGCTCAGGTGGTTTACAACTCCATGAAAATACTGTGTCAGTTTGTAAGAAAAGAAATTACATCATTAATTTAATATGGAATGCATATGAAATGAAATGAAATATATGCAGTTAAAGAAATTTCAATTTAAATGAGTAATTTGATTGCTTGTGAGAGGTATGTCATAATAAAAAGTGCTGTTTGTGTGCTCACAGGATGGCTGTTGTTATCGCCCCCTGGAAAAGGTCCCTATGCTGCAGGCAGGGAAAACAGCAGCAATACATATTATTGTTACTTTTTAAGAAGAGAAATAATGGTCTTATTCTGTGCCTGGGGAGGTTCCGTTTGGATATTAGGAAAAAATTTCTCTCCAAAAGGGCAATAAGGTATGGTAACAAGCTGCCCAGGAAGGCGGTGGTGTCACCATCTGGAGGAGTTCAAGAAATGTGTCAATGGAACACTAAGGGTCATGGCTAAGTAGGCAATATGGTGATGGGTTGACAGTTGGACTAGATGGTCTTAGTGTCTTTCCTAACCTTAATGATTCTATGAATTTATGTGCCCAATAAGGGCTTTTATACAGTGATATTTTAAAAGGCTGAGCCCAATATCCAAACAAGCTCTGTAAATTCTCATGAGAAGACAACAGGTATACACTACACAACTCTTACAATTGAAGGCATAATGTATTGGTATCTTTTAAAGCTCCTTTCAAAGGATGTCACATTGAGAAAATCATAGAATCATAGAATTGCTCAGGTTGGAAAAGACTTTCAAGATCCAACCTGTTGAACCTCAACCTAACCATGCTAGCCTATCCAACAACCCTCTGCTAAATCACGTCCCTGAGCACCACATCCAAATGGTTTTTAAACACATCCAAGGAGGGTGACACAACCACCTCCCTGGGGAGCCTATTCCAGTGCTTAACAACCCTTTCTGTAAAGTTTTTCCTGATATCCAACCTAAATCTTCCCTCGCACAACTTGAGGCCATGAGAAATTGCTTCTTTGTGTCTCTTTCTTATTTTGGGGGCAGGCACGGAAAGA